CACTGTTCTAAGCACTGGAGACACAGCAATAAGCAAAAGCTAAAACCTCTTCATTTATGAAAGGTCCTAAATACATCTCTTAATGTTTACTCTGAGAAGTACACCTAGTTTCCCATAAATACATAAAATGATACAAGTAAATGAAATGACTCAATTAGTAGCCAGAAACTATTTGTAGTTGACATTCTGTTCATAATACCTTTTATAGGGGAAGAGGGTGTTGGTACACCATTCTTCAAAGTTCTAGTTGAATAGTTAACTTTACTTCCCATTGTCAGTAGGATGACTGTATATTTAATTTTTAAGTAAAGAAAAGGTTAAATTTTAAAACCTGAGTTTTATAATATTTTTGACCATTTGCTTTTTAAAATAAAGCTTTCCGGTTAGTTTTTAAGTAAAACACACATACAGAAAAGTGCGCAGAACATAATTGTGCAGTTCAGTGGGTCACACAATGAATTTCTCAAAGCAAACACCACCAAGATCTAGAAAGAGAATATTACCCATAGCCCCAGAAATATTATTTATGTGTTTTATCAGTCAAAACACCTATCCTTATCCTCAAAGTTAGCCATGATCCTAATTTCTCATATTCTTGTTAAGTTTTACTTAGTCTTGTAAATATATTCCACTTACTCATATAAGTGGAATTTAAAAATCTGTATTCTTTCATATCTGGCTTCTTTCTTTCATTCGACATGATATTTGTGAAATACATCCACACTCTGACTTGTGGCTGTGTAGTTTACCATGGTGTGATTATAGCACAATCGATATCTCTTTGACATTACTGACATTTTCTGCTTCACCATAACACTAATCATATAGAATTCCTCCTTCAAACTCAAATCTACATGAAGACCAGTTTTCATTATTTTACTCATATTCTGGTCTCACTCTTCAATCAAAGAGTGAGCTCATTGACCCTGGTGTGTGTCAATCATGCCTCTGTACTTAGGCTGAATTTGCGAACATATGGTGTTTATGTGTCTGTATTTTAATTACCCTAGATAAAAGTTTTCCAGTCATTTTCCCAAAACACAATAACCTTCCTTTATCACCTCATTCCACGCTTCTCAAAATTCTCTTCCCATGCCACAGTAAACAGTTCAGATTGATTTGAAATATGCTTTCACCTGAAAAGGGGTCCTGTTTATGGTTTCCAAACAGCATCCATTCTCATCCTCTCCTTTAGGACCTCCTGCTCTTGTTGGGGGCTGATCCCTAATACTGGACATGTGCTGTGCCTTCACCATGTTACCATCTACAGATGTCCTTCCTTTAAATGGCTTTTTGATAGCACTCAGCAGAAGGCAAAAATGTCAACTTCAAAAGGCTAATGATTAAACACAGGACAGTCATTAGCCAGCCATGCCTAAGGCCAAAGAGGTGGATTTGTGATGCCTGCTGACAAAGACATTGGTCATTACTGTCAGGTGTTTCTTTAAGAAGCACCCTAAGGAGGAATTCCTGTCATAGCTTTGCTCCAAAGTCAGCTATGTGTGTCTCCTGAGCCACTGGTCTGTTTTACCTTAAGGAGCTGAAAAATGCTCAAATAACATTTTTCAAAATATGCAAAGCCAGATTTCTGACCTATGCTGGTGATTTCTCAAGTTGTATTTTTCATTTCATCCCTACCTACACTTTAACCTCAGTTCTATTTTCTGTCTGTTCTTTGGTATATTTTTTAATCCCACTATTGTATGACATTGTTACCTGAAAAAATGTCTGGAACAAGGAGACATATCAGTTACTAAGAGATGAAAGGCCTCCATCACTGGTTTGGTCACTCAGTGTTCTTGTGTTTTAGAAGCACCAACTTGTTGATCGGGATGGTGGAATGGGTCAGGACAAGGGAGAAGTGGAGAAGCTGTATCCTGTATATCAGATTTATCATGGTCTCATAAGTTTCAAAGATGCTATAGTTTTTCCTCAATTTATCACAGTCTTTCAAGTTTAAAAGTTCCACTTTTCCCCTTTAGGGATTACTTGAGTAACTTAGGAGAAAAGTTACTGGAAAGCATTCTTCCTAGAATCATTTTAATGCTTCTGCTTCTCATTCTATATTACCTTCTCATACAGAAAGATCTCCAAGACATTCTACTTAGAAATAATATTAAGACCCTCTATTTTCATTACCTTTAATAAACATAAAGTATCTCCAGAAAGATACAGAAGTAACTAACAACAGTAGGGACCTGCTTGAAGGTCGGTAACTAGGTGAACAGAAGCAGATAAGGGTGAAAGATTTCACTGAATTCCTTGTAAAAGTTGTTGAGTTTTTTGACAGAGTTTAACATGTTACAAATTCAGAAACTTAAATAAACAAAAAAAACCATACATAAAAATGTCCTCAAAATGCAAGCAGTTCTACTGCAATAAAAGCAAAACAATTATCATAAAACAGTGTATTTTATAGAGTAACAGTAAGGAAAGCTGAAAAATAAGCCAAGTGCAATTATGTCAACATGCCAAAAATCTAAAAATAGAGTAAATGAAATATATATATTATTTTACCATGATTTTCAAAAAGAAAGAACAAACTTCTGAGGTTAGCCATGCTGGAGTACATGGGACAGGACTTGTCTGCCCACCATAAAAACTAGAAAACTAGAAAAAAATACATGAAACAACTTTCAAATATTGGGCAATAGGAAATAGCAAGACATGGTTCTTGAGATAAGGAATCACTCCAGCGTTCAGCCTAGAAGTACATTCCAGACCACAGTGCAGGGAGGGAAATCTGAGACAGACTGAGCCAAGAAAACAGAGGTCAGAGAGCAGAATTCTGGAAAAGAGGAAGCTAAGCAGAGAAATAATTCCACATATCTACCTTAGGTTTTTGAGTCTGTGCTGAATTCTAAGCCACATACATTTACAGCAAAAATCCATGAGGCTGGACAAAAGAGATTGGAGATCTGTAAACTTGTCATTTTCCAGTGATCTCACATTGCTGAGACAGGGGTGAGTTCTGGCAAGCCAATGAGAAGAGTCCTTAGTGAGTGCCAGGGCATTCAGTAGAGACCCAGGAAAGATGACAGTGTAGTAATAAGACTAAACTAGCCCTAAAGTAAAGGCTCCTTTAGACCAGCTCTGTCCCATAGAACTTGATGCAATTACGGCAAAGTTTTGCATTTGCATCATGCAAATACAGTAGCCACAAGTCACATGTGGCCTTTCAGGACTCAAAGTGCAGCTGTTGAGAACTGAAAAAAAAAAACAATTTTAATTGTATTTAATATTAACTAACAAATTTAAACAGTCACATGAGGCTAACAGCAACATGTGAGCCACAGCTTTAGACTCACAACCGCAACATTAACATTAAACAACTGGAAGTTTCCAAAGGATCAAGCTGATTCTTAAGTATTTAACACTTAAGAATAAAGCCTACGACTCCTTTTGACAATTTTTCAAATCACAGCTTAGCTCGCAGGCTGACCTAATAGTAAAATGTAGAAGGGACAGTGTTTGACTCCTAAGGCTAGACCAAAAAGACATTGGAGTTTCCACCGCAGTCTCTTAAATCTCTGTCTCTAAAGAAAGTCAGCTGCAGTATTGAGGAAACTCAAAGCAGGCATGTGAAGAGGCCAAGATAGGCAGTAGCTGAGGCCTCCTGCCCAGACAGCACCAGCTTACCAGCCGTGTGGGTGAGCACATGAGAAACAGAGCCTCCAACCCGGTGCCACATCAGGTGACTGTAGGACCAGCCACATCCAGCCACAACCTGGGGGAAAACCCTGAACCAGAACTAGCCACGCCCCTTCTGAATTCTTGGGCTGCAGAAGCCATCAGAGGTATATACATAGCGATTACTGCTATTTTAACCCACTAGGTTTTGAGGTAATTTTTAAAAAACACAGTATTCAATGACTAACACAATTAAGAATTATTTTATGGTGACATATTTGGGATAATTGAAATGTGAAAATACAAATTCCTCAGAAGACACACACAAGCACAGCTGGCACAAGAAGGGAGTAACCAAAGAGCCTGACACCCATTAAAGCAGTTGAACCTGTAATTAAAATATTCCCACAAAGAAACTTCAGGCTCTGATGACTTGTATCAGTGAATTCCATCAAATTTCTCAAAGGAAAGAACATACTATACCAATTTCACACAAACAATTTCAGAAAATAGAAAGAAACACTTCCAAACTCAGAAGGACACTTCCAAGGAGAGAAATGAAAAGAAAGTCATAGACCAATATCTCTCATGAGGATAAATTCAAATATGCTTAAGGAAGTATTAACAAATCGAATCAATTTATAAATTCAATAATGCATCATGACCAAGTGAATTTTTTTTCAGGAATTCGACGTTGGATTAACATTCAAAAATCAATTAGTGGAAAGCACTTTGAAATTACCTACTGGTAATGGTCACACCACATAATGAATATACCAAAGCCCACTGAATTATGCACCTGAAAGTTATGAACTTCAGTGGAATGTGAATGATACCTCAATAAAGCTATCATAAAAATTTCATTTAGCATAAATCACCAAATTAGCAGGAAGAAAAAACTCGTGATTAACTTAAAAGATGAATAAGAAGTATCCAACAAAATTCATCCCCCATTCATTGTAAAAGCTCACAGAAAACTAGAATTTGAAGCTCAACCTGATAAAGAAAATCTAAGAAAGGAAACTGCAGATAATATCTTACTTGAAAGTGAAATGCTGATGCTTTCTTCAAAAAATCAAGAACAAGGCAAGGATATCCACTCTCACCATTTCTATTAACCACTGTACTAGAGAGCACAGATAAGGCAAGAAAAGTAAATGAAAAGAAATAAAACTGTCTTTATTTACAGACAATATGAAGATCTATTTAGAAAGCCCTAAGAAAATCTACAAAGAAAAAATTTAAAAGCTACTGCAGCTAAATAAGTTTAGCTATTTTGCAAATGAATAGTCAATTCACAAAAATTTAAATTATTTATAGAGAGCAGCAATGAACAACTGGAATTTTAAAAATAAAACAATTTCACTTACAATAGTGGAGACATCACTTCCAGCCAAGATGAAATAACAGGGACCAGATTTACCCTTCTGCCTGAAACAATACAAAAAAATTAAAAATGAACAAAATAAATGAAAGAAAATCAAGGCATTAGACAGAAGATGAAGAAAGACAATGATTCCTGAGAGATGGACAACAAACAAGGTAGCCATGTAATTGCTTCATCTCACTGCTACGTGAGGGCTTTCAGGCTGTGGTAAACAGAGGGGAGCATAGGCAAAGGCTGGCAGACCCTGAGCTGAGGTGGTGGTGTTAAGAGTCTAGGGAAACCAAGACAGAATTGGCAGGATGGCAAATGACTAGGAGATACCTGTGTAGAGAGAGAACATGGGGCTCCTGCAGAGTGCCTCCAGTGGGCACAGAGTAGGATCACTGCTCAGTGCATGCGGGCAAGGAAACTACCAGATGCCAAGAGAGAACCACAGAAACAGTGAGAGGTAAAAGTTCCCAGGACTACACTGGTTCTGAAATTGTGCCAGTTTGTGCCCATGCTTCCTGGCTGTTAGGTAGATGCTCAATGGATCTTGGCCCAATAGTGTCTGTCTTTAGTCTTCCTGCCCAACAAATCTTGAAAGCAAGACTATAAACGACCAAACTGTTTCTGAGTAACTTAATTGCATCCCAGTATGAAGCTCAAGAATATTTATGGGAATAGTAAAATACCTGGCTCTAGCAAGGTAAATTTTACAGCAGATGAAAATCAATAAAAATTACCAGGCATAATGTAATGGAATGCTAAACAGCTATGAAAAATTTTAAAGATGAGGAAGATCTCTTTGTACTAATATGGAGTGCTTTCCAGAATATACTCTTAAGTGAAAAAATGCCAAGCGCACAAAATTGCCTATAGTATGTGACATGTTATATATGAAAGGAATATAAAATACCTGCTCATTTGCCTACTAATGATTCTCTTTTTTATTTGTTCCTGAAGGAGAAATTCAAGAAAGATAAACTAGAAACTAAGATATTGGTTACCTACAGGGTTTGTGGGACAGAATTGGGAATATGGAGATAAGGGAAGAGGACAGCAGGAATCAACAAGGGGTAGCACTTCCTTGAACATAACTGCTGATAAAACTCTGAGTCTTCGAATCATAGTCATGTTTCATATTTCCTTCATATACCCAATTAAGCAAATAATTAAAAGCAACAGGGACAGGAGGGTAACTCAAAATGGAATATAAACACTAGCCACCGAACCTCTGTTACAAATAAATAACATAACCACATTGAAGGTATTGAAAAAAAGAATTACCCAAAGTAACCTCGGAAAACTGTATCTTGGCTGGATACTATAAGACTAAAGACAAAAATAACTGTACAAAAAATTGTAATCTAGTTAGTGAACATTTTTGTTTTTGCTTTTAAGCAGGAGTAATGTTGAATAATTCTGAAACTATGTTTACACTGGACTTGAACAAAAAGTGAACAGATTGTAGATAATGAGAGGCAGCATTTCTCAGTGTTAGAAAGGGATTTATAAATAAAGAGGGAAGCATAAAATAAAGCCCACAGTATAAAATTAGAAAGACAGCAGTATTAACTCATGATTTTTAATATATGTCCATGTAGATTAAAAAAATACCAATATGTGTATACATATAGATTAGTATATATACATAAAATATCTAAGTCTGTGTTTTGAGGGTCAGAGCAGTGACATCCTAAATACAATGAGAATACCTACTACCCAGATACTATCTCGAATATGTTATTTCATTATATTTCACTGAATATAATGAAAACACTACATTCAAACTAAAGAACTAGGGCCCCCTCCAGGAATGAATAATTCTAGAGTTGGGCGCCATATATATAAAGTGAGCCAGGAACAGCATGGGGGGCCAGAGAGTAAGAAAGTGCTCAAAAAGGCCAGGGAGTCTTGGTAAAGGAATACAGGAGCCCACCTGAAGGAGCTTTTAATGGCCAAAACTGGAAAAAAATGTCACAACAGAATTGGATTCTAACCCACAAATAAACATCCAGGAGCCCATACTGGTGTAGGTAACTAATGGAATAAATAAATAAATATGGGAGAAAAGATAGTTCTTCTTCAGTAGTACTCAAATTAATAAATGTAAGAGAAAGGAAATGATTAGGGAAATGCCTTAGAAATAAATGATACAGAGACAACATCTTGGCAATATTAGCTGCTATTAGCCCTAGTATAATCTGCACATAATAAAACGCCCCATTTCATGTATAATGAAAAGACTGATGACTTTTGACAAATGTGTATATATATATATACTTACATAGCCACCACAAAATTCATGATTGGATATCCCTTTCATTAGAAAAAGTTCCAGCATGGCCCTTAGCAGTTAATCTCACCCATCTCTGGCCCAAGGCAATCACTGACCTGCTTTCCCTAATTATAAATTAGCTTTGCTTTTTTTTAGAATTTTATGTTATATTAACCTAAAAGCTCTCTGACCTCAACTGTAAAGTCAATCAATAAAAAGAACACATACAAAGGTTTTCTGCTTTTTTTTGCTTCTATCAAAATAGCATATGATATCTAGATCTCAAGCTGGGTTTCATTTGGAACTAGGTTCTCCCTGCATTAACAAAGGTCCTGGGAGAAAAACAAAACCTACGCCATGTTCATTAGATGAAATTTGATGTTGGAAACATGAGCCGCTACTAGCCCAGGGACTGCAAGCGCCATAGGAGGAGAGATTTAGCAGAGCTAGATTGAAACCTGATCCATGGCTAGAGCTGCCTGGACAGCTGGGACCACGCAGGAAATGCCTCCAAAGCAAAGTCCAGAAGGTTCTCTGGCTCCTTCCTCCCTCCTCCCATCGGTCAATCTTTCCAGTGCCTCCTACTGGCTGGGCTGCACCAGAGCAGGTGGCAGAGGAGCCTGGAAAAGGTATCTTGGCAGGGTCAGTCCTGCAGTAGTGGGCAAAGCAGGGGAAGGTCAGAAATGGATCTGAGGGTCAACCGGCAAATGACCAGCCAACTCCCAGCGTAAGTTGCTTTTTCCCTTCAGTTTAAACTGAAGGGAAAATGGGCTGGCGTGGAAGGTTTGAAGTTGCAAATATTTCATCTTGACCCTCTTGAACAAGGTCAAAGGGGACAAATTATTTCATTTCAAAACACCAAGGGGGGCGTTTCGTAAAATAATGAAAATACTCCAAGAACTTATCACAGAGCCAGTGCCGGGACAAACACCAAGGAATCTCTGGGCTTCAAAGCTTCCCTTGGAGGGTCATTCCATTTTGAGTCGAAAATGAAATAAGTTGTACATGAAAAGAGAACAAATATTTTAACATCTGGGCATTCCTCTTTGTAAAATTATATAAAGCAGAGAGACTGATAGAACCATAGCCAAGGCATTTATCTTTCAGAAAGTGCTGAAGTATCACTAAGTAAGTAATAAGCCAGAAAAAGCAAACATTCATTTTCTTGCCATTTCGGGGTGTGATCCTAATTCCTTCAATTCAGTGTGTTTACGAAACTGCCTTGCCCTCTTTCCTGCATTCCCCCAATTCTTCCCTCCTTGCAGGATGCTGTCCTTTCACATACGTTGTTCTTTGTTAATAAAGTAAAAGCCGACACAAGCTGCCCTCCCTGAAGAGAAATTGTGTTAGCCTGTTGTTATTGATCTTGTTGCGAAGGTCTGAGAAGCGGCTAATGCTCCAGAGAGGGAGCAGTAGGACGTGGAGGAGGGAAAAGCATGTTCTTATAATTTTCCCATAAACCAGATGTTTTCTTTAACTCTTACATCTTTATTTTCTCTTGAGGAAAAAAAAAAGGGGGGGGGGTTTGAACAAATTTAGAATGCCATTCTTATTTTCTCAGCATACCACGAGAACACACTCAAATAACAGAGTGTCAAGCATTCAGGGTCGTGGATGCTTGTGTATCTGCTGCTCATTGGACAAACTTAAATATATATACAACTTAAATAAAACCTGTGTCTTCAGTAAACTTTATTCTTCCCCATTTTCCAGTGATGCTGTTTCAATTACCGTTCTGTGTTAATATGCCCTCTCCCCCAAAAGTCATGGGGTGAAAGAACAATTTTATTATTTCACAGCTTTTTTGGGTCAAGAATTTGCATACGATTCAGCTGGGGCCATCACCTGGGCTCCACTAGAATTGTCACCCAGAATATGGCCTCTCCAGCATGGCAGTTTGAGGATAGTTTTCATAGCAATTGATTTCTTCCAGGATGAGTGTCTGGAGAGAAGCAAAAGAATGCTGAGTGGCCTTTAACAACCCGGTTCCAGGAGTCCTGTAGCCTCATCTCCAGCCTTTTGCAGTGGTTCTCAACTAGGGGCAATTTTGGTTGCTGCAATTTGTTTGGCAGTGTCTGAACACAATTCTGCTTTGCACAGCTGGGGGCTGGGGGGGCTACAGGCCCACGGATGCTACGATATACTGCACAACGCACAGAATTGCCCTCCACAGCGAAGAATCTGTGGCCCAATATGTCAATAGTGCCCAGCTTGAGAAACCGTGCTCTGTTGGTTGAGGCAGCCATAGCCTGCCAGAGTTAAGGAGACGGGGCATGGGTCCTTATTCTTGATGAGAAGAGAGTCAAAAACAATCTGTGGACAGTTTTAAAAACTATCACAAAGATGCTAACTTAGTTTTTTCCCCTAATTCAAAGACCAAGTCTCCTAGTTATTCAGTTCATAGAAAGTAAATATCAAAATTGAGAGAGAGGAGATAGCTGTCAGGATTTCAAAACCACGTAAAATGTCGATTCCTTGATGAATCCACCCAGCCAACAGGAAACCCAGGGCCTGGGGATCAGCTCTGTAATTTGAGGTTCCCAAATCATTATTTGCTCTTGATTCTCATGTTTCAACCTTTTTTCACTCATTCCAATATTGTCCAGCTTTACATGAATGTTATTTTTAGACATTGATGTGGTTATGTTGAAACATCATTTACAAACTGACCTGCCTGAAATCTCAAGCACATTTTTAAGCCCCAAGCTCCGGAAGAGGAAAACAGCACTACTGGATGACAAGGAAGGCAGCAGGACTCTGTGCACGGGCGGTGTGGTCCAGACTTCAGCAAGCCCAGGGAGCTGTGGAACGATCTCTGTTGCCATCCCTTCATGCTGAGGAAGGGCTAGCTTGGTGCCCATAGAGCTTCTCTCAAGGTCATTGCCTCCACTCGTTAACATGTGGGGCCTCTCACTTGGAGGTAACGACTTCATTGAGCACACTGACCAGTGTTACATAATGGGAAATGGAATTTTATAAGAGCTAATAGCAGCCACAGCTCTTCTGCTAGATTTTTTTTCCTTTTACCCTTTTCTAAAAACGTGTACCTCTGTTCCTTTATTTGTTCTGACAATCTCTCCTAGTGTCTTCAGATACAGTGTGTGACTTATCTCATCTCATTTTCTTTAACCAATAAAAGAGGGAAATGATCTGGTTTTCTTCCCATATTTATTGGATATTTCTGGAGCAGCTCCTATAGTCAAGTCTGTACCGAGTGTTAAAGGGTGTCATTGTGAACAGGACTTGGGGATGGAAGCCCTGGGGCCACCTGCTCCCCAAGGTCTAGCGGGAGATAAGCCAAGATGCTATGTATATTGCATATATTACATATGTAATAATACATATGTTATTTATAATATGTATTATATATACTACATTATGCATTATTTGTGTATACATATTTATCTATATCTGTAAATATGTAATTGTACAATACAAGTGGGGGAAAAACCTACCAATGCCCAGAGAGTCCAGAAGCCTTCCTGGAATCAGAAACATCTAAATGGAGAGTGAGATTTGGAAGAGAAGCAGTGGGGGTAAAACAGGGAGGGGGTTTCCCAGCCAGGGCAGCAGAGTGTACGAAATCCTCTCTCAGACTCAGGTTTGTTTTTTTTTTTGTATTTAATTCGTTATCGGATCCTCTACCTGCTTGTGTATGAATTTAAGGTAGTTAAAACAAATTCTTAAATCTTTGTAAAAAATCACAAGTCATTTGGAATGAGCTGTTGAGTAGTCACTCTATAAAGCTCAACTTCTCTGCATGTGGATATGTGCTATTTACTTGTTATTATGCCTTTTTACTTGTTTTGTACCTATTTATACAACCAGGAAAAATTAGTTTATTCCTCTTCATTTCCAGTGATTTTTTTAAGGTCCACCTGTCATACCCCAATGACTGAAGATGTGTTCTTTAAGCAAAACAACTGGGGGAGACCCCTACCCAAACAGCCTTGGTTACCCACCACTTCTAACAGCTTCATGTGCATTTACAGCAAAAAAGCCACAAAGCTGTTTTAATTTTCATCTTTGGATAATCTACTGAATAACACTCTCATTTGGAATGTGAACAGCAGTGTTTGATTTTTCAGACATGACCTTATGTTGGGCTGTAAACCTGCACAGTTCAATCACTTCCATACAGAACAGTGGATTCTCTAACTTCTCGCCATACTTAATAAGCTGCTCCACACCGGCTTGTTTCTAATTCCAGTTACACAGAGACAGCCCTCCAAACTGCAGGACATCAGTGCTCTGGAGATCATTAAAAAGAAGGAAAGTCTGAGGTGAGAAGGAAAGATACAGTGTGACTCTAACAATAATAATCAGTTTTCAAAATAGACCTCTCTTCTTCTCCTCACCTGAGCAAATAGAGAATCAGCAAACACCCAGGTAAAAACAACCTCATTCTGTAATAACTTTGAAGCCCAAGACTTTTCCCCATCATTCGGGTCTACATAGTCTAGCCCAGGGCTATTATTTAACTCTTTTGTAGTTCTCAGAGAATACAGCCTTTCATCTGAGCCCTGAGCTCCAACTCGTTCTTCACATCTTTCTCCCATTCTAATTAGTATTTTTATCCTCCTGACTTCTGATCTCATTTTTTGTTCCTATCTGGGTCCTTAACCTTAAGCTTTCAACTTGATGTATTATAATGTCATCATAATTCTAGATTCGACTTAATCTCTGTCTAACTTGTCCTGAATTCCAAACCACCTGGCCTTAGGGTACTCATTTTTCAACAACAGGGACTCCTGTTCCTCAGTCTGTCCCCACCAAAGGTAGAGCCTTAATATATGTCATGCAGCTTTCAAAAATGGAAGTTTATCTGAAACTGTCCAATGCACTGGGTAAGACTATAGAATCTGGAGTCACATACATCTGGATTTGAATATAAGCTCCATGAATTAGCAGTTACGGGACACTGAGAATTTAGTTACAATCCTTTAGATTTAATTTCTTTATAAAATGTTGGTATTGATACTTTTTACCTCCTGAGTTTGTAAGAACTACATAAGGTAAAGCTAGAAGATAATTAATAATCTATAGGCAAATAAATATCATTACTAATGAATGCCATTATTATCAGTATTGGTAGTATTATGTAAACACTAATGAATTATAAAGTGCTTTTTAAATTACCTTGTTTTTTATGTTTTCCATATTTTTATGCTATTTTCTATTGGGTTCACATTCAGTAGACCCTAACAGATTGATTTGATATGTTCATAGAGAATTACTGAGGTTATTTCAAACTGGGAAAATCAACTTTGGTGCTGACACAAATTGTGGCCATTAAGGATTTCATCTGAAGTGGAAACATTACCATTATTTAACAACTGTTTTTGTTGTACAAATTTCACAAATATTTCATTGAAGCAGGTGAGGAAATAATCATTTAATAAAAAATTCAAGCTCAGTTGTCTACCTTCACAACCACACAACTTCCCTTAAACCAGGGCATGTCAAACTTTAACTTGAGTCAGGATAGCCTAAAATTCCCCACACCTGCTTCCAGAAGTACAGGTGTCTTGAACCAGGAAGCTGCCTTTTTCACAAGTACCCTATATCATTCTTATTATAGTGCTGCTGACACCTCACACTTGAGTACAATTTTCTGAAATAGAAAATGTTGAGGGGGGGGAATCTAAAAACCACATTTTCTAAAAATTGAGATATCCCTGACATATAACATCATATAAATTTCAGGTGTATAACTTAATGATTCAACACTGATATTGTCTCTCCTGAGGGTTTCAGCCCTGGGCAAGTTCACTCTGGATTCAGTGAGACTGGAAAATGACAAGGAATGGTGGGGGTAAAAGGGTTCATACTAACCTTTATTCTCATGATGGCAGGTCAAGAGCTAGAATCCCATCCACCTCCAGAACAGTCTGCATGCAGCAAGCTGGTCTCTGCCTCCAGACCTCTTGGAGCTTTGCAGCCCTTGCCTCCACTCCTGGCTCTCCCATGCTCTCTCCTCCAGGCTCTGCTCTCTGCTCTCTGCTCTCTGCTCTCTGCTCTCTGCTCTCTGCTCTCTGCTCTCTGCTCTCTGCTCTCTGCTCTCTGCTCTCTGCTCTCTGCTCTCTGCTCTCTGCTCTCTGCTCTCTGCTCTCTGCTCTCTGCTCTCTGCTCTCTGCTCTCTGCTCTCTGCTCTCTGCTCTCTGCTCTCTGCTCTCTGCTCTCTGCTCTCTGCTCTCTGCTCTCTGCTCTCTGCTCTCTGCTCTCTGCTCTCTGCTCTCTGCTCTCTGCTCTCTGCTCTCTGCTCTCTGCTCTCTGCTCTCTGCTCTCTGCTCTCTGCTCTCTGCTCTCTGCTCCACGGGTCTGGAGGGCCTGTCTTTACCTCCAACCTCTGTTCTGCCCCAAGCACTGGGAGGGGCTCTTTATATAGCAGTTCAGGCAATTTTGGCTTATTGCCTGTGGCTGTGAAAGCATTAGCCTAGCAGTAGGCCAATTATATCATCATCATCAAGTAGATTAAGTTCAGGTGAGGATCCTGGCCATGGCAACTTCCATTTTCTCTACAATATATACTGTGAAATGATCATAGTTAAGTCTAGTTAACATCCATCACCACACAGTTACACATTTTTTTCTCTTGTGATGAGAACTTTTAGGATGTACTCCTTAGCAGCTTTCATATAGGCACTCAGTTTTATTTATTTTACTTATTTTATATATATTTATTTGTATATAACTGGAGGTTTGTATTTTTGACCCCCTTCACCAGTTTTGCCCACCCCATCCTGCAGCTCTGGCAGACACCTCTCTGTTCTCTGTATCTGTGAGTTAGGTTTTTTTTTTTAAATCACATGTGATTATCAAGTTTTGTAATTGAATTTTCTTATTAATTACTGAAGTCTTTCTATTCCACTCTTTCCATGTAGATAATCTAAAGGGTTGGCTTGTGGCAGAAATAGCTATTTTTCTGTTCTCATTTCCCAATATCACGTCTCAAACCCCATCCTCTGAACCAGGTATTATACAAAAGTGAACACCATACTTTATGCAACTGGCTTCTCTGTGTAAGGATATGGAAAAACTTGTGTCTCTGCAAATCCAGAGAAAAGTTTTCTAGGTCCCCAGGAAAAAAGTGAGCAAGAAGTTATTCTGTCTGCAGTCCATATTTCAATAACTTAGTTCATTTGTTAGACACTTTCTCCAATGCTTATTTCCTGGAAGCCACCAGATGTACATCAAAAACCTGGGTCAGATCGGTGGTCTGAGGGATCTTCTGGAGTTCTTCACTGAATAGTAGGAATCAAGAAGCATAGTCTCAGATGAAGCAGAGGTGGAGTTAGGGACGAATTAGTTGCATTTTTCTTTTTGGTGCCTTGGCCAAAAACATGCTCTAAAATAAAAAAAGGAATAGATTCCACAAATGGGAAAATGCGTGGAGATTATCTCATCCTGGGCCTTCTGGGGCAATCAAATTTCCTAAAAGATGTTCCTAAAAGTTATGACTGTATACAGTAAACAGAGCAAAAAGACACAGGTCCCTCTCATTCAGGTGTGGGGCTTTGTGTGGAGTTAACTGAATAAGGCTGGTAGAGGCATCATGATGTAAACCTTATGGGTTCCCACATGCTGAATTCATGACATAGGGAATCAGGTGCTTGCTCGCTGATGTCTTTATAATCTGCCCATTGGTTAGTATTATTCAAGTAGTGGGCATAGCCAGGGCTAGAGCATAACCTACATTCTCCTGATGCTCACCTGCCAGATTGTAGCAATAATTAAATTTTAATATCTAGCAAACACTTTAGTCATTGAAATAATGCCATATTACTAGTTTTTTATTCTTTGAAAAGCAAATAATTTTCTGTGAATCTAAGACTGTCCTGAGGGGAAGGATGTAACATGAACACTACCTTAGGTAAATAAAACAAATGGTTTGGCCAGTTGGCAGACTGAATAATGACTCTACAATTGGCCCAAAGACATCTATGTCCTAGTCCCCAAAACCTATAAATATATCATCTTTGGTGGCAAAAAGGACCTTGCTGAGGTGACTAAATTAAGGCTCTTGATATAGGAAGATTATCCTGGATTATCCAGGTGGACCTAATGCAATCACAGGGGTCCTTAGAAGAAGCAATCAGGAAAATCAAGGTCAGAGAGAGATGTAATGACATAAACACAGGTTGGGTGATGAACTTTGAAGATGAAGGGAGAGGCCACAAGCTAGGGCATTCTGGATGCTTCTAGAAGCTGGAAGAGTCAAGGAAAGAGATTCTTCCAAGGGATTCCAGAAGGAACGCACCTCTGCTGACACCTTGATGTTATGGCCCTGAGACTTCTTTGGCACATCCAACGTGCAGAACTGTGAGATAATACATTCTGTGGTTTTAAGCCTTTATGTGTGCAGCAATTTGTTATGGAAGAAACAGGAAACAAATATAGCCAATATGCCCTAAATTGGGCAGCACATGGTATGGTGTGTTATTGTTTACAAAACAGATGCTTTTTTGGTTAACAAGTCTGAAGGGATGGTTATGCAGGATAATATTAATTGAGATATGCCTGTAAAAAGAAATGAGGTGAACACAACATTAGGTAAGCAAAATAGAAGAAGAATTATTAATATACAACAATCAGAAAGGTAAGATAGAGCCAAGAAAATAAAAGTAGGTTACAGAAAAGAGAAGTTTATTACAGCCATGACTGGGTAGAAGTTCCCGTCCTGTTCCCATATGAAAATTGAATCACAGAGAAAATTTGCCACGATTTTGCAGCTGGTAAATGGCAACCAGCACCTGCACCCAGGAAGTCTGGCTTCCAAGCCTGTGCTTTTAGCTTCTGTGTTCTCCAGTCTCCCACATGACTAGAGCATGACACAGTAGTCATTTTAACTTCTAACATGCCAAAGTCTAAAGAACTGACTTGGTACCATTGACGGCACAGGAGTCCTATAGCCAAAGATGACAAATGAGGACAGGAGAAAGGCAGGGCTTAGCAACTAATCGCTAATGTCATGAGTGCAGCAGAGCCGGCAAGCAGGCAGGTGAGAGAGAGTGGTCGGATGGCTGGGATCAAGACCGTGAAGAGGGTCCGGGCAGGCAGAACATCAGAAGAGCAGGGACACCCTTAGGAGCACAATTCAAGGACACTTGAAGGCTGAGGCAATGTCTGCCTCAAACAGGATTATGAGGGCAGCCCCTGGGAGTGGATCGTGGGGGTCTGCATAACTTAGCCCACGGAAAACCTCTTAAGACTCTAGGAATACAGGACCCTCGGCAGATATGCACTCATTTGTACACCTAAAATAATGTACAAGAATATTTATGGAGACACTGTTTATAATAGCCCTCTACTGGAAACGACCCAAGAGTCCACTGACAGTAGAATGCATAAATAAATTGTGGTGTTTTTACGTGATGAAATGTGAATGGGAACAGAAGATTTACAGCTACACTTGAAACTAGGATTGAATCTGAAATGCTATGTGAGGGAAGCTAGACATAAAAAGATTTGTTTTATGATTCCATGTATACAAAGCTCAAAGAACAAGCAGACGCAATCAAAGGTATTTAAAGTCATGATAACCATTAACTTTGTGGGAGTGTGGTGTGTCTGGAAGGAACACAAAGGTACCAAGACTTCTGGAGTACAAGTAACCCATTTCTTACATGGGTGTGCTCCATTTGTAGAATTCAATGAGTCATGTACTTCTTTGCCCACTTTTCAGTATAACTTCATGTTTTAATACAAATATGAGAAACACAGAAATACAGATAGATTTCTGGGGTGATAGATGTTGAAAAAATACATTCAAATCTGAACTGAGCATAACCAAACTGTGCTTGACAACTTTAATTGGCTGCCAGAGATAATTCTGATAGTTGATTAAGAAATACCAGGACCCTGTGCTTTTATCAACTGAGCTTCATTTCACATTATTTGGAGTGCATATGCTCACTCACTGTGCCAGGGATACATCTCTGTTGCTTGATATTCCAAATTACCAGCCACAGACCAATTTACTTTTCATTACATCTCAGATAGGTTACTTTTTTTTGCTTATAAATGGTTCATTTACATCTATGTATGGCTCCAGATCACACATGTCCCAAATATGAATCCATGTCAATTATAAAAGAAATGGTGGTTTTACAGCTCTGTGAAATAAACTAGTATCTATGTTTAACTGTCCAGTGATGTGTATAAACATTCTATCATCTAGGTACACATCTGTTTCCTCTCCTTCTTTTGAATATTCACCAGTTCCCTGTTAATGAGACCTGAATTTTGATTTGGGTTCGAGATCTCTTTGTCTAAGAAAATTTTCTTTAACAGGATGTCACTATAGTGATCAATTAATTGATTTTTTTTTAAATGGGGAAACATCTACTGGACAAAAGGGAGTAGTAAGAACGGGTCTAAGCCAATACTCAATTACAGCTAGTTATAAGCTTTGCAGTGTTTAGAGTGAAAAACAGAAAAAATCAGAAATCTGAAAAGTGTGTTGGTCAAGGTCACACAGCTAAAAAGAGGACCACTCAGGGTAAAATTCAAGTCTGATTGTCCAAATTACTATTATTTTCCCTAATTGGAAAAGGTTCCTTTTCTAGTACTGGTATTTGGGCTACATATCAGATTGCTTTTATACTTAAAATGAGTGAAAAGGTGGGAGAAATATTTGCATTAGTTGCTAAAGAATTTTTGGGGGCTTAGTTGTTTTGAAACCCATACTACAAGTAGAAAAATATTACCCAATATTGGATGTCTCATGATTATTCTGGCAGAAATATTCATTATAAAGACACAGCAGAACAATCATGTGCCGAAGAATGAAACTGGGTCATTGTCTTACATCATACACAAAAATAAACTCAAAATGGATTAAAGACCTAAATATAAGACCCGAAACCATAACACTAGTAGGAGAAAAACATATGCAGTAAACTCTTGAACATCAACATTAGAATTTTTTTCTGGATATGTCTCTCCAGGCAAAGCAAAAAAAAAGCAAAAACAAACAAGTGGGACCACATCAAACTAAAAAGATTCT